TTTAGCATCCTCTCCCAGAACAAAAAGAGACTCCACATAGAAGACTACTCCGTTTCGCAGACCACACTTGACCAAGTAAGTTGATAGCATGAAATTTGGGGAAGGAGGGGAAAAAACAAATGCATCTCAAAATAAGATCTCGTTCCTCGATTGTCATCCTGAGCTCTAGTTTATTGACTTTCAGACTTCCATTAGTACCTTGGGTTCTTTCTGTTGGTTGATATTCGCAATAGGAGACAAAGAGGAATCAACATCTCCCTGCAATGATCTCGTTATTGATGCCCACTTTTTTCTTCTCTCAGGTATTTGTAAACTTCGCCAAGGACCAAAGTGATGATGACCACACAAAAGACTTGTCATTACACAAAAACCAGACTGTGGTAGATGTAGCTGTTTTGACTTCTTTTTTGCAAGATGAGAAGGTGAAGGAAAGCTGTGTATGAATAACCTTTCTCAGAAGGACGCAGTGGTCGCACTGAGCAGAAGGGGAAAACGTTCGTCCTTTCTGTATTATGGATGGGATCTTCCCAAGTGGAAACAGATCGAGACCGAGGAGCTGGAGATGGAAATAATAAATGGGACGTTGAACTGGTAATCATTCAATGCAATGCAACTCAATGCAAACGAAACAATATTCCATTACAGAGGCAGTGCCTCTGTGAGATGTTGCCTTGTTGTACTGTTCTCTAGTGAAAGACTTTAATTTAGCTATTCCTACATTATAATTCTGTGAAACTCTAATATGGTGCCACTTGCTGCTATGCTGTCTTCTGCTATGCTCCCAAGTTGTTTCTACTTAGTATGTTTTAAGAATTACGTAACCATAGTTCAAGAAGAGATTTGTGGCCAGTGATTTATTTATTCACCATGTTAAGGTAGGCACAGCCCCTTCCGCACAGGGAAAGGAATTGCTTGGGCACTACATCATTGCTGGCAATGTATGCATCAACAAAACCAGTGTCCAGCAGTCACACCCAGTGCACTATTGTGGCCTTATTTAAGTATTAGCTATTGGCCTGGTTGACCCATACATGCTTGAGGGGATTGGTATGACAACCATTAGGGGTCTTAGTAGTGAGCCATGAAGCACACCATCAAATCGGCTACTTTGAAGTCAATGTTTCTTAATGGCTTGTAGGAGAATCAACTATTAACCATGAAAGATCTGAGACAATTTCTCTCCTAATGGTATGGTGACCAATTGCTTGTTTTTCTTCCTTTTGCTTTTGTTATGGAACTATTGCTGTTTTTAAATTTCTTTGATTGTTGATATGTCTATTTTCTTGTAAAAGTACTATCTGCAGGAGACTCAGCAATCTCTGAAGAACTCTCTATTATCACCCATATCAGAGTATCTGTTTTCCTGCTGACCACAATTAATTACATATAGCATTATTTCCATCCATATTGGAAAATTTTTCAGTTACACCATCACCTCCTACTTTGCATAGCAGAGATGATGTTTCAGGGTTGAAGTTGGAGAAAGCCCTCCAGAAAAAAAACAGCGGGGTGTCTTGAAGTCTTTGAGTTTCCATAGTCCTTCCGTTTCTCTTACTCCATGGCTATTATGTGACAGATACACTGATCTCCTACGCCTACTGAAGGTAGGCATTGAAAGTTGGACACGTGGATGACAAGCAACTAATATGTAATTTTTAAAAAAAAAATATGGTCCATTTTTCAACTGTTTATTTGGAAATTTATATGGAATCTTTTTTTCCGTCAGCTCAGACAGTATCTTTAATAAAAAAAAAAGCTAGGAGAAACAAATTGGCTACAAACATCTTTTTGTAGTACTGGATAACCAACACAGTTGGCATATACTAATATTTCAGACATGTCCCAAGTCAGGTAAAATTCTGAAATGATTAGTTGCATTAAGTCCTTTTGAAGTCAGCAGGATATCTGAATCCTGCTCACCTTATTTGCACCCAACTTTCAATGACTGTGATTTAGTTTCTCTCTCTCCTCCTCCTCCTCCCTCTCTCTCCATATAAGTAGCTATTTTTTTCTACAAATATAAATGCTCTATTTTAGTATAATTTTAAAACACATTTGCAAATTTAACACAATTCAAACGGAGGTAAACATTAATTGTACAATCCCTTGACACAACAGTAACTCAAAATAACTAACTTAAGAGTTAAAGGACAACTGTGCAAATTTGCAACGTAAGGCTGAAATTCTAGGCAGGGTGAGTGACCTGGCAGTTAGCTCTACTGATCACAATGGGACTTCAGTACAGGAATAATTGCATTGTATTCCCATTGCTTTCAGTGGGGAGCCTTGAAATCCTTACTTACCTGTTTCATTAGAAATAATGGTTTCTAGAAGTGCTTCTTGCTAAGAGTGGAGATCCAGGCTAGGTTTGTTCCACACAAGATACTAGCAAATCACTGCATACAAATTTTCCTCTGTATCAGATAAGTTAGCCAAAATTATCCTCATTGGTCTCTGTGGTATGATATAAAACCACTAGTCAAGGAGCTGAGCAAGAATATTTACTTCGTGTTATGTGATTAAAATTGCTGTTACCCTTCTGCAGTATTTGTGATACTGTAAAGGTAGTTTTATATATTTCTTACCGAAGTTAACACGTATAGTAAGTCTCTATTACTGTGCTTTTCCTCCCAGTTCTGTCCCAGTCCCCTCCCTCCTCTAATATGATTGGTCCTTCATTCCAAGCACTTTATGCTGGCTGCAATGGGATCTATTTTTGCACTGGAATATCTTCTAAACTTTGCAAAACAATAGAGCAGTTTCACATATACGCAAAAACAATCTTTTAAGTTAAAAAAAAATCTTTCAATGGACATTTTCATGGAAAAATATATATATTTGTATTGCTAATAACTTTGTGAACTATTAATAGGCATCTGTTAATTGCCTTGTATCAAGTAAAGAATAAAAGTGTTGCTGGTCTACAAATCATGAAGAGTTTGTGAGATTTTTGTTAATATAAAAATTGTAGGTAAAAAATGGTATGGTTCTCTATTTCTCAATAACAACGTATTGTATATTTATAGTAGCTGGCTAATGCAGAATTAGAAGATGCAGCGTATGCTTTATTAAAAAATGAATTCCACTGATTAACTGAATTCTAATCTAAGAACAAAGATATTCCTGAAGAAGCAATTACATTGTAACCTGAAGAGGTCTGCATAATACGAAATGAAAAATTTTCTGAGTATGGTTCAGATTATTGGGTTTTACAGCTAGTCTTGGATTTACAATCGTAACAGAGTTCAGAATTACGGTTGTAAGTTGTGGTGGCTATGAGGCTTGGTTGTGGTGTGTCAATTTTAGGGCATAAATTAGCTTTTCACCTGGTGATGCTCCATCTGAAAACTGGGAAATTGTGGTATTGTCTTCACCAGCTGGGATCAAAGTAGGTTCTGGAGATCACAGAAATTATGACTCTCGTGCCACCAGGGCCACACATAGCTGGTTCTGACCTCTTTGCTAAAATCCCAAAATTCCATGGGATTGTAGAGTCACTGTGTAGTCCCAGATGCTATAATTTATTCATTTGGCATTTGCTACTTTTCTCCTCCCTCCCTTCTACATTTTTTGTCCATGGCTTACTGGAGGTCCCCCCCACGTTCCCCTGGCAAAATAATTTCTTGTTTAATAGCATCGAGTGTTTCTTTGGGTCCAGTTGACTAGTTGTTTTCCATCTGAGTTGTTTGGAATAGATCTCTGCCATCCTTGCCCTTTCACTTCAGGAAACTTCAGTTGTGCGAACCATAGACTTCCTCTTATACAGCCATAACAAAAGAAGGCATGACATGTAATAAATTCCAGTTTCAATACCGAAAGATTAAACGAGCAATATCTTTTAAATAAGGGAAATAGTGTCAATCCTTTAACATCTAAAATAAATACCTGCATGCACTAAAGCATAGCCCTCAAGAGGACATTTTCCCTCTGATGGCCTAATTTACTGCGGAACAGAATTTGGTTTACTGGCCTATGTATTTTAACTAAAGTAACTTCGTGTACATATACACTCAGAGCCAGGAACATCCTTCAAAGCAAGTCCCCCCCCCAAAAAAAGAACCCCCAATCCCTGCCTGCTTTAATGCTTTGAAAAGCTGAAGTGCTAGGCAAAGCATTTCTTTAAAATGTTTTGCACAGCCCCAATGAGTGGAGTTTTGTGCGGCATAAAAATGGATTTACTATCCTGGGTGCTATGCGCTGTGCTGGACAAAGAATTGTTCTTCATGTTTGTCACCCTTGGCTGCAGGATGTTTCTGTTTTCCATTGTGCATACCTTGATCTCCCAGCAAAGCTATCAAAGCATGATGCAACAAGGGTTTTGCTTACCAGCTGGCTTGTCACAGAGCATGTTCATACTTACAGCTGAAAGGGTATGACTGGCCAAGGCCATACATCTGGCTTCTGTGCCTTAAGAGGAAACTAAATCCTGGGTCTCATTAACCCTAACATCACACTAGTTCTCTGGGCTGTGCTAGAAGGGGATGAATACTACTACAAAACCATTTGATTTCCCATTAACGAACTTTAAAAATGTCAACCACATTTTAAGAACACTTCAATATGGGAGTCATGACTAAAATCGGAAGTCACACCTGTTATTTCAAATAGAAATAGAAACGATATGTATTTCAAAAAGCCATTTTATTGTTTCCATTTCAACAATTTCATTTCAGGCACTGCTATCTGAATGATTGCTTCAAAAGTGCAAAAATGTGTATGCTACATAATATGCTACTACTGCGAGTGACTCTCTCAGAATAAATTAGTTTATTCCATTTCTGCATTTGAACACATGGAATACATACTCTGAATACATGGAAATTTTTACTTGATTTCCCCCCCCCCGCCCCCATTTCCCATTTCCAGGAAGAGAAATAGGTATATGATTGCTACCAGAAAGAGAGATTAGGTTTGAATCATATTTTATAAACAGGGGGAAATATAGCTGGACTATTAAAATCCTTAGATGCTCTTGACGGTGCAATGAAAAATATTTTTTGTCCCATTAAGCACTGCATTTATTTCAATGGCGAGAATGCTATAGGAAGCAGGAGACTGTTCTGCTGGGATTCCAGGAATCGAACGCTTTCTCGAACTAAAAGTAAATCACACAGGCAATTAAAAGGTTAATAGTGGTATATGTGTGTGTGTGTGTGTGTGTATGTATATATGTGTGTATAATATGTGTGTGTGTGTGTGTGTGTGTGTGTGTGTGAAATAAAGAATCCCAAAGGGAAAAAAATGAGAAATCTTTCACTCACCAGCTGCTACTAACCGAGGATCCTCATGGGCATAATGTCTTCCAGCTGCCCGACTATCTGGACTCTCATTCCACCAAAGCACATGAACTACAAAGACAGAAAACTGCAACTCAATAACAGTATGAATTAATAGGCAATGTGATTATTAAAATAGGTTTTGCTGAATAATCTTTATTCGGAACACCATACCCCTTGCTGTGGATGGTACTCACTGATATTGTGTATCAAAGAAATCCTTTCAATTCACACACACCACTGGAACACTACTGATAGTCACGGCAAATGCATGACTATAAGCATAGGATACTGGCATATGCAATAGCATTAATTATTATGGTTCTCATGTATTCAATAATGAAATGACTGAAGAGATTGAACTGTTAATTGAATTAAATATTAATGAAGTTAAATTATTAATTATGTCAAATACTTAAATAATTGAATGGATTAAATTATTAAAGATTGCAACCAAATGTTTCAATCATAATTATTAGTTATAGTGATAAACCAATGAACAGAGTCAACTTATTCTTGTCACATAAGAGAACCTGTGTTTTCTGTCTTCATTCCTAATCATTTTATCAGTGCTCAAATTCTAAGCATGGACTAAAACAGAACTTCTCTTAAGAGGCAAAGAAACTGATCATTCCTCTACAAAAGTATAAAAGATACTAGCCTGATTTTGGCACTGTCACACAATTTTTCATTGAGTGACAGAGTCCCAGTCCGAATACCAATCTCAATTGTGGTCAATAAACCAGGACTACCTGTAGTATATTTCCCTTACAGGTAAACTTTTCCTCTGAGCCAAGTCTGATTCCAGGCAGCTTTCTGAACACATCCATCCAGACCTTTTGGCAACACTATGCCTTGTTTGAAGGGATCTTTCAATTTTCTACACTAACCTTTAACCCCAAAATTCCCTGGCAAGTCTCCAATCTAAGTATGAATCAGATCAAATTTTGCTTAGCTTCAAGCCCAGATGAGATCTGCCCTGAACCGAAGGGTGTGTTTCCTTACCTTGCCTAAAAGATAGAAGTCCTATGTTGTACTGAAATCTGATAAGCAATCATACCTCGGTTGAGTAGTCCATATTCAGTATGGAAGACCCCAATCAGCTTAGTATATCCACTGTTTATATGAGCTTTAATTGCAGCTTTAAAGGACTGTCCCCATACTGCTGGTCCACCAGGCTTCATCTGGAAGGTGACCAACTCATAGATTCCTGGGAGGGGAAGGGAGTAGCAACACCAGAAGAAAAAGATTCAGAATTTGTTAACGCCCTCTCAATAATATCATGCACATATTCTTGGAAATGAACACAGATTTTGTACAAGAATGGAATTCAGTACCAAGAATTTCCGAAGTGTTTTGTTTTTTAAAATTTCTGGTCCTTGATAAAATGGGACAGTTGAAATATTATGAAAACATTGAGTATATTTAAACAAGAAAATAATAAAAATGTTGGCAGAAATACTGAGGTACTACAATACCATCTATAAAGCCTTAGTAAGACCACACCTAGAGTACTACATCCAGTTTTGGTCACCACACTATAAAAAAGATGTTGAGACTCTAGAAAAAGAGCAACCAAGATGAATAGGGGACTGGAGATTAAAACATATTAATAATGGTTACAGGAACTGGGCTTGGCTAATCTAGTGAAGAGAAGGACCAGAGGAGACATGATAGAAGTCTTCCAATATTTAAGGGTCTGCCACAGAGAGGAAGGGGTCAAGCTATTTTCTAAAGCACCCAAAGGCCAGACAATGAATAATGGATGGAAACTGAACAAGGAGAGATTCAACTTGGAAATAAGGAGAAAATTTCTGACAGAACAATCAACCAATGGAACTTGGAGGTTGTGGGAGCGTCATCACTTGAGACTTTCAAGAAGAGATCGGACTCCCATCTGTCAGAAATGGTGTAGGGTCTCCTGCTTGGGCAGGGGTTGGGCTAGATGACCTACAAGGCCAACTCTGTTAATCTGTTATCTGTTACATGGAAATCTTACGTGCTATTATTATTTTTCAATTGAAATGTAGTTTTTTAGGAATTCTAATAGGCTGTCAGAGGACCTCTATAGAGGGCTCAACACCTTTAAAGCTGTGTGGACTTCAACCCCCAGAATTCCCCACACAGACTAAAGTTGCTAAGATTTCTGAGTTGCTGTTCTAAAGTGTGATTATGTATTGTGTACACTGTACTTGCCAGATGTGCAAATGCACATTTTTCCTTCATGAACTAAAATGATATTTTAAGCTGCACAATAATTAAAAGGGATAGAAGTGAGCACATACTTTCAGTAGCTGGGCTTCCAGAGGTTTTCAAAAGGAGCCACAAACAATTACTATAATTAAACAGCTACGGGGCGATTGGCTTTAAGCACAAAGTGACAGAACTGCACTCGAGAAAACCAGCCAGTCTACACATTTAAAAATGCCAAAATACCCAGTGTCTCAATTACAGTACATGCACATTCAATGTACCATCTTTTTCAGAGTTGCCAAGTTCACACCAGGGGACCAGGTAAGTAATCTCATTCTCTTGTTTGTCCAACAAGGGCAGCATGCGAGAGATGTATTTTTCCTGCCATTCTTGATCTTTGGTTAATGCTGTACGGACCGCAGCCCTCTGTGCAAAGCTCTCTATAAACGAGGAAAGATACAGTAAAGTTAGACATCCGCATTTAGCCATCTAGTTTGTTATTTGCATTTTTCAGAACATCAAACTTGTTGCTCTTTCATAGTCATTACTTCTTGTTCATCTAAAATCAGCTATTTTTTTTAGATTTCAGATTTTATTAAAGCCACTGTTTGTTGTTATATTCCCATGACAGATTTATCCTGTTTTTTAACATTCATTTTTGCTTAGAACCTTACATTTTAAAACACTTTTTAAAGGAACATAATAAATTTAGTTATTTACAACTAATAATATATTAGTATATGAAGTCCTTGGTATGTTTAACAACCTTTGTTTAGTCATATGTATTTTATTATTATGACTACCTGTTCTTCTTGCCTCTCTTTTGTGGTTCTCTATATACTTTCCTTAACATCTAATAAAAATATGTCAAACAAGAAAACAAAATGTACCTATGATAAATTCTTGTGCTTCTGATTGAACTCTAAAAAAAATATTCTAAATCAATCTCACCAGTTTGTCTGTGATCATTAAAATGCTGAGATATTTGACACTGGGAGATCTACTGTGGATATGCATCTTCCTTAAGGCAAGCTTGACTTCTAGTGTTCCTATAAAACCTTCCTGTTGTTGCTGCTGCTGCTGCTTTGTTGTTGTTTCGCAGCAGAATCAAAATATTGGCCACTGGCTTCTTCTATGTTTTTTAACTTCCCAGTCCAGCTTAACACTACCCTGGCATTCTCTAGTGGTCTCCTCTGCTTAGCTTCTCAGACCAGGCAAGGCCTAGATGGGCTCTGTGAACTACTGAACCAAGCAAGCACACTAAGAACTGAATAAAAGATTAATTAATGAAGGTCTTAAGATACCACTCAAAGTCTTGATTTCAAATTCTAATTAGAATATTACAGGCAATGCCCTTTAACACCATGTGTACAACCAGGGAGCCATTCACATTCTAACCAGCTGGATAGTCCTACCTTATTATTTAAGACAACAGCTCCTTCACCAATTCACCTGGGAATCATGATTAAGAGGTGGAGAAAGTCCATCTCTTCCTCAAGGCAAGCTTGACTTCTCTTAAAATCTGAGAAAAATATTTAATTCAGTGCAGTTGCTGAAATCTCTGTAACCTTATCTTAAAAAAGCGTTTCTCAACTTTGGCAACTTTAAACTATGTGGACTTCAACTCCCAGAATTTCCAAGTCAGCTGGCTGGCTGGGGAATTCTGGGAGTTGAAGCCTACACAGCTTAAAAATGCCAAGATTGAGAAACATTGTCCTAGACGACTTCAATAAATTTAGCTAAAGAAAATTGGGAAGATGCCTGCTTTTTGCAGAAGTGGAACAGTCAAGAACCTGACATTAATCCGAGCATCTGGATTATTTTCCCTCTTTAGAATTCAGCGTAAGCCCGAACATCCGGTTTGCAGCGCTTCGGGGCAAGCAGGAATCTGCGACTGTGTGTGGTTTCTGCCTGTGCTCGCTGCCCGAGTGCCCTGAGCCAGCCGGCTTCAGGGCTAGCCACCTCCGTAGAAGATGGTGAAGATAGGGGGGACCTGGCAGGGTCGAGAGATATCACACCTCTCTTCCCTAGCCGGCTAAACCCCCTTTTCCGAAGGCAGCTGAGCGGCGGTCAGAAATGGCCGCCACATAGAAGCACTCAGCTGGAAAAAGAAAGTGCAGGAGGAGCTGTGAAGAAGTGAAAGTGTTTTTTTGCTGACCGGGATAAAGCAACAGCGAAAGTACCCTGGAACTTAAAATTTTCCAAAGATACATCGTTTCCAGAGATTTACAAGCGGCGAATGGAAGTTTAAAAGGGAAAGTTTTTCTTTCTTTTCACTCTCTTTCCTAACGTGACAGTGAATAGAACCACAAGAGAAATCGGAAAACCCGCATTGGAGGTAATTAAATGCTAAAGGGATAAGGATTTCTGAACATTTTTTTAAAAAAACACCTTTTTTGCTGTAAGTGGGAAGGGAGAGGGAAAAAAATTGGAGCAGAATTTGAAAGTAAGGAGGAGATTGCCTAGAATTTTAAAGAGCTATTACATATTAACAAGACTTCTAAATGATACATTTTAACTGGAACTTTGTGACTAAACAGTAACCTCAGAGAGAGAAAGAGAAGAAGAAAGTACTAAAAGAAACAGCTTATTTGGATTGTTTGGTGATTTTGGAACTTTTGGGAACTATCTTTGATTAAAAGCACTTAGGTGGCTGTTTTGGAAAAACTGTTTTTCTCTACAATGGCATCACTTGTGGATGAATTGAAAATTGAATACCAAAAATACAAAAAAGAAGAACAAGAAGGGAAAGATTCTCTTGGCACTCTTTTTCAATTTTTAGAAATGGCAGTTTGCACTTATGAAAAACTGACTGCGCAACAGGATGACTGGGATAAAGAAGAAGCCATCTTTGATGAATAAGTGACTCTATTTGGGGAAGGAAAGGGGAAAGAGGAAAAGAAAAAGGGGACTTTAAGATTTGAAAAAACAACCAAAAAAGAGAAAAATAAGGTGAAAAGTGGATACAATGTTAGAAAACAACAGAAAGGGGGAAAGCAGAAGAAGAAAAGGGAGATGGAGAGACAAGGGGGTAAAAAGGGCAAGGAGAGGAATAAGCAAGGGAGAAAAGAAGGGATGAGAAGCCTCAATGGTGGGGAGCAAGATGTAAAGAAACAAAATTCTTTTAGAGACAATGGGTAAACTTAACTGAAAAAGGGATTCTACAAAGGTACATAAGATTGTATTCTTATATTTGTATTCAGAAACAATGTTAGAAAATTGGAAACAACATGTAATCAAAAATGGGATAAAATATTTAGTGTAATTTAGTGAATTTTTTGTGGAGAAAAAGAAGGCAATGAAATAAATGAGAGAATTGAAAATTGAATTGAATTTTTTTATACTAGTTGAATAATCTGAAGACATCCCATATCCCATGGGAACCCAGAATAGCAATCTTATTACTTAATCCACTACATGATAAGTACTATAATACACCTATGGAAACATCGTAAACACTCCCCCGCCACCTCCAAAGTGAGACAAGTCATTCTCTTAGGCTTTCAAAAGCACTTCCACACCTGGTCCTGCCTACTGGCATGGGAGCCTAAGATGTCATGCAACCCTGGGGGTGGTTGGTAGGTTTGAAGGCCTTTTAACTTTGCAATTGTTCTTCTTAACTCTGTAACTATGATTTTTGTGTTTTATTTATAAAGCACTCAGAGGCAGAGAAATATGATGAGCAGTGCAGAAATTTCATAAATAATATAAAATGATGTATACAGTACCATATTTCCAAATGTGGAAAACTTTATTCAGTTCCCCAAATTCTAGAGTCCAGTATCCAACCATTGGAGAATGAGCAGTGCGAAGGTGAATGGTTTTACTGGTGAGGTCCAGAAAATCTTTCATCTTGTTTGGCTTAATTGTGTAAGTACGAAACTCATAAAATGTGCCATCTGCCTGTCGTGGCCCTGTGGCAAAAGATGAAGCCTGAAAATAAACAAAAGATACATAAATGTTGATGAATAATATTAATAAATTATTTATTCAAATAAATATGAATGCAAATAACCCACAATGTTGGGTTTTTTTTCACATTTGCAATGTGATGTGAAAAAGTAAGCAAAAGACTATCACAGTCTTTTCCAATCTGGTGCCACAAAATATAGAATCTGAAATTAAACCCATTTTGAGGCAAAGGACTAGGGAAGACTAGGGAAAGCTGGATTGCTATAATAATAATACTGGCCAGAATTCCCAAATAAAGATACACTTGTTTTTTTAATAACAAAAGAATCAGATAAACTGTGAAAATCACTGTCAACAGATATGGCACCAATGGATGGTTGAAAATGGTTTAAAAGGAAACAAATATTCACAGGCTTTAGTATCAATGGACAGTAGTTTTAATGGTTATAAGTAGGATACTGAGTAACAGAAGCTGAGAAGAGATTCTTGTGTGTTTATACATTCTTGTAACAATCTGAATGGCTGTGGGGTAACACAAATTGCTGGATTAAACAAGTGTGTGTTTTATTATTAGATTCTTAGAACATCTTATTCCCTGGTTACCAATGTCAGCCTTGATTTTTGACCCTTCAATAAAAAGCTACATTTATTACTTTCAGCTTATGCACAAAAGTGCTGTTCTTATCTCACTGGATGCAAACACTGCCACTAGGCCAAAAGGCAGTATGTTCCAGTTTTGTTGCTGCAATGGGTGAAAAAAAGCCACTGTCATCGATCAACCACGGCTTCACACAATTACAAACCCTGCCAATGATTTCAGCAAACTGTAATTCTATAGGACTTTGTACAAGCCTGTAATTTTAGAGTTGTAATTTGGCCCCTTTTAATCTTACAGGTATCATTGCTGTACAAACACCAGAGAAGCTACTGCACTGATATCACTAAACTGGATTTATTTTGCAATTTAAAAAAAAATCTATGGAGCAATAAGGTCATCTTTATTCTCTAAACATTTTCTCTCATTTCTGTTCAAGCTGGTAGTATTACACTAGCAATCACTCAATGCAAAGCACTGATTGCTCTACCTGATCTGACTAAAGATAGAAAAAAACAAAAACAAAAAATGACAGTGATAATATTAATTTCAGTAAGTTATTAGATAAAACAAAACGTATACAATAGTGGAGCTAGATTATTCACTAATTACTTTTGAGTCTCAAGGATGTAAACAGTGCTTTTTAACAAATGAAAACATTTTAATCACATTATTTCCCTTTAGTTTTATTGCTGTATTTTGCCTTCTTAAAAGTTGCTGGCAACAGAGCATTACAGGTGAGATATAGAGGCTTCAGAAAAAAAAGGAGTAATAGAAGGGATAGTGAATTTGGACTGCAACATTTGAAATGATCACTAGATGGCAGAAGAGATAAACTTGTATCTTGTATTTATCTGTTGCTGCCATCTAGTGGTCATCTTGATTTTGCAGTCCAGATTGAATAGCCCTTCTGTTAGAAGTCTTCAACTGCCCTGAAGTATTCCTCCCATAGTTTCATCACAGCCACAATGCAATATTTTACATTCCACTTTATATATCAAATGTGGCACTTCTGGAAAAAATGTTTTGTATCAAGCTAGCCAAATGCCCCACAGTTATAAAAAAGCAGTTTTAGAACAATGCATATATTTTTATTAAATCAAGTTCAGGAAAATGAGGGAAATATAACAAGATTATAGAGCTGAACTAGTTAGAACACAGAAAGCAGAAAAATCAGTTCAAAACTGCTTACATATGCAAAAATTACTGGATGGCCTTTGGCTTTTTGTTAATTATGTTAACATAAATAACAAATTATTTGATGGCAAAGGCAGTTATAATGCAATTAATGACATATCGACGAATAAGCAACAGAACAAAATACTGCAGAAGCAGGAGGGGGAAATGCATGTGGAACACTTTTATTTTTTAAGAAATAAAAACAAATCGGGGGGGGGGGAGTTTACATGCATACATACATTCACAGCTAGATCAGCCCTACATTGGTTCTGCAATAGCAATGTGTTTGGTGTAGTGGTTAAGATGCTGGCCTAGAAATCAGGATACTGTGAGTTCTAATTCTGCTTTAGACATGAAAGTGGCTCTCTCTCACTCCAATCCACCTCACAAGGTTGTTGTTATTGTGATAAAAATAAGAGGAGGAAGGAGTATGATATATGTTTGCTGCCTTGAATTACTTCTAAAGCAATAGGCATATAAAAAACTCAAATAAATGTCATCTTGTGTGCAGGAGTACTTATTCCTTTACAAATAAGGATTCTTTTGACACTAACACAGCAAACGTTAAGGCTCCATATTTACAGAAGAGTGGATTTAGCAAGTGTAGCTGCTGTCTTGTTTCCCCATCACTTTTGTTAGTTTAAAAGTTTCCCCATCACTTTTGTTAGTTTAAAAGTGATTTCCTAATCATCAGCCCAAACCTGTATTTTGGAGTACATGGAAGATGATGGTTTAGAATGAATATAGGTAGTCCTCGACTTACAACAGTTTGTTTACTGACCATTCAAAGTTAGAATGGGACTGAAAAAGTGACTTATGACTGTTTTTCATACAGCTGTTACTAACCTGAAATAGCAATAGACGTATATACCACTTTATAGTGCTTTCCAGCCCTTTCTAAGCGGTTTACAGAGTCAGCCTATTGCCCCCAACATTCTGGGCCCTCAATTTACCGACCTCAGAAGGAATGTAAGGCTGAGTCAACCTTGTGCTCATGGGGATCGAACTGCCGAACTGCATGATTCACTTAGCAACTGTGGCAAGAAAGGTGGTAAAATGGGGCAAATCTCACTTAACAAATGTCTCACTTAGCAACATAAATTTTGGGCTCAGTTGTGGGTCGTAAGTCAAAGACTGCCCGTAAAGAGGAAGATGGTAGAATGGATGACAACATCAGTGGAGAGGCAACAAAGGAGAATAGGAAGGGATGCATGTCTTAAAGCAGGGGTCTCCAACCTTGGCAACTTTAAGACTTGTGGGCTTCAACTCCCAGATTCTGGGAGTTGAAGTCCACAAGTCTTAAAGTTGCCAAGGTTGGAGAGCCTGTCTTAAAGAATTTGTGGAAAAATACTCTTTTTTCCCGGGTTTTTGTTTTTGTTTTGCTTCCTTAACTGCTAGCACTTTGTTTCAAACACTAGAAAAGGCAAGGCAAGACAGAGAAGCTTTGATCCACTTTCTTTCTTCAAACCCTTTTTCCAACCCAAACTCAAGTCCTGATCTGAATTGGGGATCAAGTCTTTTTGCATCCAATAGAAATTTCCTTCCAGCGGACTTCTTTCCTCCTATAGCTTCTTCAGCTCTTTTGTCCTCTCCTCACCGCTCCTTTTCTCTGCAGTTAACAGCGAGCGGGCAAAGATTAAACAACAACAGCAGCAGCAGCAGCAGCAGCAGCAGCAGCCGCCTTGCCGAGCATCTCTTGCAGGGCCGGCCCCACCTGTTGGACCTCTGCCTGCCTGCACCTCACACAGGAACGGGAAGAAGACGGCGCTCGTCCCCTGCCTCCGTCCTCCACCCCAAGCGTCTCCCTCTCCTCCCTCCCTTTTACCTGAGCACCCACCACTCGCGCCGCTCCCGCGACACCTCTGAGGAGAGCCCGGGGGCCCCTCATGGCCTGATTGCCCGGGCGCCACAAAGATAGTAGCGCTGCAACAACAGCCACGGCACGTAGCCCAGCTAAGGGCGGGGAACGTCCACTTCCTACAGCGATCTGGCCCGCCCGCCGCCGCCGCATCGAGGCGAAGCATAGGCCGAGGCGAACCTCGTAGCCGCCTCCTCACTAAGCGCAGCCAAAGCGATCCGCCTCTTTCCCATCCCTTTCTTCACTACGACCCGTGAGGCATGAGGAAGATACAATCTCTCCGGCGGGCCGCGGAAGTCTTACTTCTGGCTCTGAGATGTGGGTTAAATTACAACTCTGGCTATCCTTGATCCTGGGCCGGGATTGCTGGAGCCGATAAGTTTGCAATCCAGCCGCTCTTGGGGGTTTTCTTGCATTTTAACAAGTCCAAACCTCCCCCCCGCGAAACTCCAGGGGGACACGCTGGCGCGAAGGATTTGGTTTTGCAAAGTGAAACAAATATTACACGCGAGGGAAAGGGGAGTTGTCTGGGATTTCTGGCTTCTCAGTTCCAGAATTATTATTTCCAGCATTATTTACTCATAATACCTGTATAGATCCTCAATTAAAATTTCTCCCCGGAGCTTCTGGGAGGACTATCGCAAAGAGTGGTAGAAATGCTTGTTTTGTGAATATGTGTGTTCTCTGATCCTAAACTGAAAACTGGAATTTTACTATTGCGAGGGTATGCATGTGTGTTATGCACTGTATGACTAAGGTATTACAGTATAAAGATAAAATCATGAAAAGGTGAATCCACATTTAAGTCCTTAACTATATTTTGGCTCACCTATGCAGCAGCACATAGCAAATCGCCTTGTGTTTACACATTCAGGCTAAGGCAAAATGAAACAAACGGCTTCAAGGAGGAAAATGCTTTGTTTTGCTGTGGCAGCCTTCTGGATGTCCTTCAGATGTGGTGGACTTCAAATTTGGAGGAATTGGAATTGTCCAACTCATCTGTTTTCAAACTTACAGAACTGCAGAATCAAAGACTTTGAATTAAAATATTAAAAGGAAGGTGAATGAAAGTAAAGCAGCTTCAGTTGTAGCCCTTTCTCAAGTTTATGGAGTGTTATTTCTAATATGTAAAGTAGGTGTGCAGTCTAGATTGACATACCAACTTAGATAAAAGTTCCATGCATGTTTACTCCCACAAAAGCACACATAATAGCAAAGATGACTGGAAGAATTAAGTCAAGTTCAGTTTTCAACCAAAGATATAAGAATTAAAATTAGTTCTGGGATGTATAAAATTTTTAAAAAATGAATGAAAAATATTTTATGTAATCCATGAAAATATACAATATTTCAAAATTCTGCAATGTGTTGATGACTTTTTTAGATTGAAGAACATATCCTTCAGAAGTTTAAAGGATGGGATATATGGAATCTACAATCTGCCATTTAAGAAGCCTGCAGAGATACATAACATAAGCAGAATGAGTGGAATGGCCAAGGGGCTGGATAGGAAATGATAGAATTGCATACACACAATCCAGAAAATGTATTTAATTTTGCATTTAACAATCTCAATCATCATGCAATGATAAATATAAAAAGTTCAGATCCATCACCAAATATTCAAGAATAAATACATTTCAGCTATAATCATTTTCTTGAACTCACTGCATTATATATTATTAATCATGAGATTTCCTGATTAAATATTGTGACACCATCAGTTTGAGCAGTTTGTTTATTATATTTTATAATTAGTTTTTAGTTTTATTTATAAGTTAAGATATTTAAATATGAGTGTAACACCAGAATGAAATTATTTTAGACATATCCCCCATATTTTTATTCTCAGTTCTAAACAAGTCAGTACAAATATCCTGTACTAAGTCATATAATTTGAATCTATTTTTATGCAGATGATTAGAAAAGTATCTAATATTTGAGAAGGTAACATGATTTTCCACATATAATGATTATTATTTCAAACTACCCTCAATCTGCCTTTATGGATAAAAAACTACAGATGACGATTGCAGAAAATAATTTTTTATGTGATGTCGTTCAACTGGAATAAAACTATTTCAAAGGTGAAAATGACGCAGGAATCAGGAGCATGTTTTGTTGGGTTTCCAAGAACTGAATATTCTCCCGAACTGAAAATGAGAAAATACACTCTCTCAAACATATATAAAAGCTTGATAGACATTTCAAGATACACAGTAATATCTTACCAGCTGCTACCACTCTGGCATCTTCATGGGCCATATGCCTCCCAGCTGCCCGGATATCTGGATTCTCAAACCACCAAAGCACATGAACTGTGAAAGTAAAAGCAAGTACACAGTACTAGCACAAGGCGTGCATACAAATCTATAGGACAAATTATGATGTTCAAGTTCCAGTGTCCATAAACAAAATTCTGCCCTGAGACCTCTGTACAATTCTATAAAGACTAGACACAGAGCTATGGAAAATAAAGTATATCAGATATGATATAGAGGCACGGTGTTGTTCTAGATCAGGGATATCCAATCTTGCTAACTTTAAGACTGGGGAACTGAAGTTTAATAGTCATAAAGTTGCAAAGATGGCCACCCCGTTCTAGAGTTAAATAACTGTATCCCATGTTCTGTGTTCTAAAATTTCAGGTATAGTCCTTGCATTTCCTCCCCAAAAGTAGGTAAACTTTTTCCAAAACTTCAGAAAGCCATTGCCAATAAGTGTAAACATGAAATAGACGAACCAACAATTTGGCACGCTGTAAGAGAGCTGTACTCCTAGAATTTTCTCCAAATATTTAGACAATATTCTTATGATGCTAGAAGTGGGGATCCTGTTTTCAATAGTGCAATGATATAACTGATGTATTGCCATTTGCTATGAACAGAACTTGTTTAACGGGCAAAACAAAAATAATGTTCCAAAAGTTTTATCTTTTAAATATGACTAAATCTGGGCCCACCTGATACCATTTTTCTTGTTCCTATGCTATACTGTACATATATCTGAGCGTGTGTTAAGTTATAAATTATAGGAATATAAATATATATATAGGAGCATGATTTTGTATTTGAAATAAGAAAAATCTTGAGCCTGTACCTGTATTAAGAAATCCATATTCTGTGTGGAAAAAGCCAATCAGTTTTGCGTAGCCTTTACTAACATGTGCATCAATAGCTGCTTTGAATGAATTTCCCCATAAAGCTGGTCCACCTGGTTTTAGCTGATAAGTCACCAACTCATAAACTCCTAGGAGGAAAAAAATCATTTTCAGGTTATTATCGGCAGTGAGGCAAAAACAAGCAACTCATTTCTTACAGTACAGTATTTCTACATCTTCACCACTGATCTAAATTCAATTTCATTTTACTTTTTGCCTATGCCTTCTTGGGTTTAAATTTACTTTCAGTTCATAATTTAGAATTATATTTGTGTAGGTATGCCCATCACTCCACAGATTCTACGCCTGTCTCAAACAGAAAAGATTTAAATATAATTTGACCACTTTAAAAACCCCATTTTACCAATGCATGAAATCATTTTAAGAGAAAGGAATAGACATAGTAATTTCTCTCTCACACACATACACAAATATAAATAAGGACTTGGAAAATATGATACCTTTTAAAAGGAGATTAAAAGAATGAATATTTTGAAGTATTGTTTTGGTTGCTGTGGAAAGAAGTATAAATAGGTCGCTTATGGTTTTTTTTGGCATATGTATATCTTTACAGGATGGTTAGAGGCAAGTGGGGTGGGGGTGGGGAAACAGCTTGTAAAAAAGAAAAGGAGCTAAAGTTTATTACCTCAGTAAGATTTATGGGTTTCAGTAACATAACTAGGTACTTTTTTTGCCTGCGGGAGCCATTTTGGGGGTATCAAGTTAAACCAGAAGTGGTAAGGCCTGTTGCAAATGGTAAAGCGGCTTCTTGAAATAAACTTCTGCAAGTTTATTTCAGAAGCTGCTAATCTTGGCTCCTCCCTTTATTCCTCCATAAGAAACTAATGAATATTAATCAGGTGTGCTCCATAATTTTAGTGAATACGTGTGATTCCAAACCCAGCAATATTACTATCTTCCTTAGACCACCTCCTCAAACAATTTCTGAGTTTCTGTGAAATTCCATTCACTGACTACAAAATCAGTGCAACAGGTTGAGGAGCAAGAGAACTGGCCTTCTTTTGGTGGGGTTCCCAACTTACACCAGGGAACCATATAAGCAATTTCCATATGCTGCTTATCCAGAAGTGGAAGAATTTCACCTAGTTTTTCCTGCCATTCTTTATCATTGACTACAGATTTCCTCACAGCTGCTCTGTGTGCAAAATTATCTGTGAAAGGAAAAAGAGAGATTGAACTTCTTAGAGCCTTGTTATATTTGCTTCCATGATAAGCGTACAAAAGTATAGAGAAATAAAATTAACATTTCATAAAAAGTTTTAACTTCATATTACTATTAGAGAACAAAACTTTCTAAAACGTGGCCTTGGAATATACATACAGTCTGCTCCATCCTATTTTCTCTTCAAGAATCCCACATGCTGTTTTGCTGGGCCATGCACTGTTGCATAATCTCCAATACTTATGAAAATTGTGAATTAAACTCCAAATGGTTTCAGCAAATGACAGGGACTCTGGATGATGAGCGAGGGAGACCTGGGCCTCCTTTAGCAGTTATAGAGCCTTGATGCCTCAGAATTTTCCAGGCAGCAATGGAAATGTCCATTACCAACTTTTCTCACTGGCAGGCAATTTGATATGCATCAGCAAGCAGACGGGTGAATACTCTCGACGTTTCCTATTGCTTATTTAACAAAATAGTACTTCTAAACTGTCTTCATTAACCCCAAAAGGTCCTGAAACTCTTTTGGACCTTGTTATTTGTAACCCAAGGATGGTAACCATATAACCTGCTAACAAACTTTTAAAAGCCACATTCAACCTCTTTGAAACACCACCATGCAATTCATACCGTATTTCCAAATATGAAATGCTTTATTCATTGCCCCAAATTCAGCTGTCCAGAATCCAGTCATCTGTGAGTGAACTGTACGAATCTTAATAGATTTATTGACCAATTCAAGAAACTCTTTTGTCTTTGCTGGCTTAATGTCATAAGTGCGAAAT